AAAATGATTCAGGGTGGACTTGATGGGAATCCACTCTACCATTAATTTTCCAAGTGGTCTTTGCAAATCAATTCTTTCCTGGACCTTTGTCAACTGTAGAACTGGTGAAGTGAATGATGAGGATAGAGGCTTTCAGAATTTAGTCTATGAGATCAGATGCAAATCTTCATAGAGTTTTGGGTTCTGGTCCATGTTTCTTCTGTAAACATCCGGAGTTTCAAGTCTGATGAAATCCACAATTCTACTAGAGTTATGTAATGAAATAGCAGACACTCTGGGAAGAGTTTGGGACTCCTATAGCCTCAACAAAGAATCCTCTAGTTCTATATGTCTCTCTGGACTGGTGGCAAAGAGATCCTTGTTTCCATGGAGGCTTAACACAGAGAAAGGTTGAATATGTGAATCAAAGAGGTGGCTTAATTAATCTACTCTCATAATGACATTTGGCCTTTGGTGCCTCCCTAGTGTTATCCAGATGGTGGCATTCAGAAACTAAAGTGCTTCCAATTTAACAAAACAAAAATATTATTCAAGCAAGGTCTCCCATTTCCCTGACTGTATTCTATGAAAATGATTGAGTGGGAAGCAGGACTATTCAAATTTTAAGAGGGGGCTAGATCAAGCTAGATGTGGTGGTGCATACCTGTAATCCCAGTGGCTCAGGAGGCTGAGGTAGGAGGATCACAAGTTCAAAGCCAGCCTCAGAAATTTAGCAAGGCCCTAAGCAATTCGGTGAGACTCTCTCTAATAATATAGGAAAAAGGGCTGAGATTTGTAGCTCAGAGATAAAGCAGCTGTGGGTTCAATCCCTGGTTCTCCCTTACAAAAAAGAGAAAAAAAAAAAGCCTAGGTCACTTTTTAGAGTTTTCTGGCTTTAAAAAAAAAAAAAAGAAAAAGAAAAAATGAAAAGAAAAATCCCCAAAAATGTAGGTATATATTTTTCCAGCTAACAGACTTTGTTTTTAAGAACAGTTTTAGATTAACAGAAGAATTGAGAAGATGGTACAGAAAATAACCCTGTACCCATTTCTTGTATTATTACCATCTTAAATTAGTATAGTGCATTTGTATTAATGAATCAACATTGATACATTATCATTAATAAGTTCATCACTGATTCAGTTCTATTTAGGTTGACTTTATGTCTGTTCCTATTCTGTGATCCCACCCAGGATACTACGTTACATGAAGCTGTCATATCTCCTTAGGTTATTGTAGACTGTGACAGTTCCTCAGACTTTGTTTCTGAAGACCTTGATGGTTTTGAGAATTGCTGGTCAAGAGTATTGTAGGGTCTCCCTTTACTAGACTTGTCTGATGTTTTTTCTTACGATTATATAAGGATTATGGGAAGACAACTACATTATATCACATAGAGGGTACATAAAATTATTATTGTTGATGTTGACCTTGATTGCCTGGCTGAGATGGGATTTGTCAGAATTCTCCCTATTAAGTTATTCTCTCCTCATTGTCTTTCCATACTGTACTCTTTGGAAAGAAGGTATTAGATGCGGCCCACACTTGGAGTGTAGATATTTTTGGGCACATGCTTATAATCCCAGTGACTCAGAATGCTGAAGCAGGAGGATCACAAGTTTGAGGCCAGCCTGGGCAACATGGTAAGATGCTGTTTGAAAATATAAAAACTTAAAAAGTGGGGGCAGTTGCTGGGGGACATAGTTCAGAAGTAGAAAGCTCCTGGGTTCAATCCCCAGTAAACCACCACCAAAAAAAAAAAAAAGAGTAGGGATTTATGCTTCCCCTTTTTGATGGCAAATTATCTACATAAATTACTTGGAATTCTTCTGCATAGAATACTTGTTTCTTCTCTCTCATTTATTAATTTATTCAATGATTTATTTATATTAGTACAGACTTGTGTTTTTTTCGTGTGTGTATTTTTTCTTTGTTTGTTTGTTTGTTTCACTAGTTTGGGTTATAAGCCAACATATTTTTTTTTCTCAAATTATTCCAGCTTTAGCTATTGAAAATTGTTCAAGTTCCTGTGTGTCCTTGAAATGTCTCCTATAAACATTTTGTTTTAAGCAATTCCTTACTTCATGGTGCTACAAGATATTCCATTCTCATTTTGTATCCCTTCTGCCCCAGTCCTAGACTCAGCCATCTCTCTAAGGAGCCCTGATTGTCGTCACTAGAGAATGACATTAGAAGCCAAGATCCGAGCTCTAGGCACACTTTCTGCTTGTCATTGTTTCTAGGCCAAATATACTTTAAATCTTACCTTTATAGTGAGATTATTCATAGGACAATTATATATTTATCGACCATATTATATCACACTAACCTAGGACCCTCTGGTCTTGCACTGGAATTCACATAAAACTTGAGTATGATGGTCTTCTTTCAATCATGTGCCACTAACATTGCTGTATAAACCCAGTGAAGATATTGTCAAAACTCTTAATTTGAGGCCTTCCACAAATGTGAATCCACAGCAAATGGCTCTTTTGAAGACTGCCCACTAGTAAACCATGGGAAAAGCAGAGAGGATTTAGAACCCAGGCATTTAAAGTACTGGATCTAGCTCTGTTGGTGACAGGGTATGTGGCAAATTCTGTCTGGGCCTCAATTTCCAATTATATAAAATCAGTAGCAGTGGGTTGGATAATACTAAAGACTCTTCCAGTTCTTGCATAACTCTCAACAGTTTCACAATGAATGAAAGAAATAGGTTTCAACCCTGACTGTGCTTAGTTCCAATATACTAGAGAATTTAAATATGCTAAGGGAGGAGGGACAGTAGAGGGTCGTTACTGATAAATAGGAGCCACTTTATTATTTCCTGAGGATGCTGCGGCATTGGATAATTATGCTTGAGAAACTTTAGACCTTTCTTTTGAAGAATATTGAATGAAAATGTATAGGAAATATTGATAGAAAGTGTTCTTTTATTGCTTTCAAGTTTGGTCTGGTAGGTGGAGTCTCCTCCTCTCTCTTTGTTTAAAGGGCAAACTCTTCATATGTTGTTTCCTCTGACTTCAAATAATTACTTTTAATGCAGAGATGGCTGAACCACCTCTTAGTTTCTTACCAGGAATCTCTCTCTAGATCCTTCTTTCCCCTCTTCTTCCTTCTGCCCCTCCTTCTAATGCTATGAAATATTTTCAACACTCACATGGAACCCAGTGGCTTAAAGACTATCCCCTTTACAAGTGTCATCTCCTTCTATCACTGACTGGGACAGTTTCCAAAAACAAACAGAAGGGGGAAATAAATATATATATATATATATAGGGCAGAAAAGGCACTTGAGAACTGTCACTTCTGATTACCAATGCTGGAGATCAAAGGTCCAAGGTCTTAGTACCTACCTCCTCTAACTCTTAATGTTTAAAATCTTCAATCGGCTTTTGGACTCATTCATCATAATCCCAGACTTTGGTCTACAATTGGTTAAAAATTGATAGAGGTGAGGTTTCTGCGACTGCCTTCTTTACTTACAAGTTCACATTTTAATCCTTTGCTCCACCCCCTGTACACATGTACACACAGCTCCTTCTCACCCCCATCCTAAAATTATGTAAAAGTCTATGTAAATGTAAAGGTTAGGAACTCTGCGCACACCCAGCACCCCACAAATCATCTGGGTTATTGCTTCACACACCTGAGGAAACTGAGTCTTCAGTAGTGGCTTTACTCAATTTCCCATATAAAGTTCCAGGCAGAGCTGTAATTAGAAACCAAGGTTTTTCTGGCAATAAGTCCAGTTTTTTCCTTCTCCCTCTGTGCACCCGCAGAGTTAGGTTTGTGTGTGTGTGTGTGTGTGTGTACGTATACAGGTTACATAGACACTGACATGTTGGAAACATGCACCGAGCCTCTATACTCTGACCTAAGGGAACAGTTTAATGACTCGAATTTCAGGCAGCTGAAAGGTTCCTGCGGGTGGAGGTTGAAATAAACAAGAAAAGCCACTGTGGAGATGTGAATGGAAAAGTACCGAGCCGCCCTCCCTCCGCACATTCTTCCGCTCCCCAGCTTTCCCTGCCATGGAGCTGCTGCAGATAGGCTTGTGCATGGTCAGGTGTACAGAGGGCGGTGTGTGTGTGTGTGTGTGTGTGTGTGTGTGGAGACAGAGAGAGAGAGAGAGAGAGAGAGAGAGAGAGGAAAAAAAAATTGCAGGCACAACACGCAAATCAAGTTTTTCCACTTCTAGCCTTAGGTAGTAGAGACAGCTAAGTACAGCAGCAGGGTAGGGCGGGCAGGGCAGGAGGGCGGGCCGCCCAGAGTTTACAAACACTCAAGTGCCTTCCTCTCCTCATCCCTCTGAGTCCAGCTGCTGCATTCCCTCACGCTAAGGTTTCATAGGAAGTGAAAACCCTGTTATTCAAAACAGTGATCGAATGCAATAAACAAATGATCATGTGCCCCCACCTCCATCACTTCTTTATTTTAAGCTCCAGATATTTATTTCCATTTTAAATACGTGAGAAAAAGTGTGGAAAAATCAGTGTTTGGGGGAAAGCTCAGAGCCAGGCTGAAAAGGTTTGCTAAAGGGGGGAAAACAGAATAATAAAAAGCCCCAAAGCAGGCAGCAGCAAGTGGGGCAAAACTAAATGTTGACGCTTCCTTTTCAGAAGGTAGTGGCTGGAAATCATCCTCTACTTTGTTGTTGTTTGTTTGTTTGTTTGTTTGTTTATGTCTCAAAACTTTCTGCTCAATTTATTTTTCATTTTTATTTATTTTTTTGGTGGTGCTGGTAATGGAATCCAGGTCCTTGAGCATGCTACACAAGAGTTCTACCATTGAGCTACATAACCTAAGGCCTCTGTATTTCTTTAAAACACCAAGAAACTCCTTTCTTTGTCCAAGGATACTATATGGAGCTTGTTTACAAAAGTTTTAAATGAAGGATTCGAAATAAACAGGTGAAAGTTAACAAGTCAGATAAAATTTCCGATACCCTTTAAGTATCGCACTGTAGGCTATACACATAAACAAACCCAGATGACCATCCAGATTCCCATGCTTATTACCTGGAGTTGGTTCTGAGAACCAGTTTCCAGTTTTCACAGGACCCAATGTAGACTTGCTTTCCTCAATTCTGCCAAAAAACCAGATACCCACCTTCAAACCCAGGTCATCAGGTCAACCTGATTTTCTAAAATGACACAGGACCATCAAACCACACAGACCCATTTTCAGTTGTTGCCAGAATCACAGGTACCTCTTGTGAGGAGCCAGCCTACCCTCTGCAAAGAAGGAAGCCTGGAGGAGTGATTGATCAGGAGGTCCCTTCCAGTTCAAAAATCTATAATCCTTAGAGACCTACTAGGATTTCAGAAGTTCCTGACAGGTGACACCCACTTCCCATTTTAAGCCCCCTTAGAAAGAGGACAGGACAGTTTATTTCAAGGCTGGGTTCCTTTTCAGCTATGATTGAATTGCGAGGGAGGTTTTGTGAGGGGAACTGGATGTGAAATATGTTCCTTTCCTTAAATAGATGTAATATTAGGACCAGGCTATTTTATTTTGTAATAAAGCTTATATTTACACAGCAGCTGTGATCAGGGACCTATTCCTATGCTCAGTCCATGGGGCAAGGAAGCTGGTCTAGTCCTATTTTCTGAGTATTAATAACCATTAACCGTTTAATCATGGTATTAGTTGATATATAGTGTCCCCAAATCTATAGGAACATTCATGAGACCCCAATCACTCTTTAAGGCTTCTTAAGCATGATTAAATAGAATTTGAAAATATTCAAGTCAATCATTTCTTTACTACTATAATGTAGCACTGCTAGGGTGAGGGAGGCCCATGAAGTGATGCCAACTGGGACCCCATGGGGGGAGAGATCAAGAAAGAGAGAAGGAAGGACATTCAAGATGACATTAAATTGGCATAACATTTGATAAAGTTACTTTCCTAGGAATTGAAGAGATTGTGAGTGCATGATTATCGTCACCATTCATTTGAGAGAAACAGATTCACCTAAAAGTAAGTGTCTATCTTTAGAATATTTTCAACAATCCTTTCTCTCACTTTCTCCAGTGCGCTCACTCAGGCTTTCTCTCTTCAATGGGTCTCTTTCTGTTCTATTCAATTTATTTCAATGTAAACACATTGATTTGGCAAGAAAAAAAGAAAGAAAGAAAGAAAGAAAGAAAGAAAGAAAGAAAGAAAGAAAAGAAAGAAAGAAAGAAAGAAAGAAAGAAAGAAAAAAAAATGTGGGACTCTGGCACTTGGTTCCAGAAATAATGTGCTGAGGAGGTTTGAGGTCCCTGGTGATGGGGTTAATTATCTATAAATCAGGCTTGGTGGGTTCTCCCTCCTCAGGCTCCCTGCAGAAAACTGAAGAGGGCCAAGGTAGGAGAAGGGTGAATTCCTTCCCAGCCCCCACTCTGGCTGGTTCCACAGCCTGAGGGAACAGATTTCCCTTTGCTCTGCAGCGCCCCCATGGGGCTAAGAGTGGAGTGGCAAAGGAAACACAGGAGGGACAAGCTGTGTGTTTAAGACTGGGGCATAGGACAGTGCATGAGGCAGACACAATTTTGACAAGAAAAGTGACCACCCCCCCCAAATCACAAAAATAATCCTGTTATAGGGCCAATTAATACAGAAGAGCCATATACTTCACATTCTAAGCCATATATACTTGCATCTGAGAAACCCGAAAGTGTTTACAGCTTATAAAAAATAGAAATCAGATATATAAATACACAAAGAAAATCGTTTCAGCAAAATTGGGGTATCATTTTGAAATCAGTGGGATCCATTTAAAACTCTCTAAAACAAGAAAGAAGGGGACTCATAAAAAAGAAAAGAAAAGAAAAGAAAAAACAGACATTCTGTCTTCTGGCAGCATGAATCCGCACTTGACAAAGTCATGTATCTTTGGGGGTAAAATGTTCATTTCAACAACAGTGACAGGATTAGGTCTATGTATATTTTTCAAAAATCCTTCACAACACAGGCTTTTCTGCAGAGGCTGTGGTAATCCATCTGTCAATAAGTATTAAAATATTCAGATTTCACAGGGACAGACACTTACACATATTTCCTAAGCTCCAGCCCTTGTGGAAAGTAATCAGCCTCTTTGGACTTCCCCTGGTTGTAAAACCTGTGACACAGCCTTTTGAAGGGGGGTTTGGGGGGGTGCATTCTCAGCCATATCTGAAACTTCTTATGTGACTGTCAGTGAAAGAAATCCCAAATATCCGAGGAAACAACCAGCGATCTTTTAAAGCTCTGCTCCCTTCTCCATTACAGATCCAAATTTGGGGTTGCACTAGTTATACTGTTTAGAGAAAAATCTTTATTAGAAATTCATATGTGAAGAAATTTTGTGGAACATTTAAGAACTCATCTGTGATTTAATGAGTCGCTTGAAGGACTCTCATAGCCAAAGCTCAGAACAGTCTGACCTTTGAAAGCTGCTTCTGGTCCAAACATTTTGGGTTAATTCTTGAGGAATCTGAAATATTATTTTCCCCTCACACCCTTCTTTTAAGAGAGAGACATAAAAGAAACAAGAGTCTCCCTCATTGAGGGATGAGTAGGAGGGGAAAAAACCCCAACCAACATTTAAATAGGGAAACTGGAAGCTCTGAACAAACAAACCAGGGCCCACAGTGAAATAATTCTGCACTGCATTTGCCTTTAAAAACAAAGGAAGAAAGAAAAAGAGAAAGAAATATTTCTTCCTCTCAACTCCAGAGCTGAGAGGACTGTGCTCCGTGCGGTGCGTTGTAGTTGTAGCACAGTCTGTTCTAAATACAGGCAGTATCTGTGATACTGGCACGGCAGGCCTTTAGAATTCCCTCCGGCTGATCCCTTCAACACTGACTGAAGAGACTTTTCACAACGACCTTGAAACAAGCCCGGGGGGGGGGGGGGGGGGGAAGGAAGAAGAAAGAAAGAAAAAGAAAAGAAATCAAAGAATTAACCCAAAAAGGAAAATCAAAACACAAACATGTATTTGGCTCACAGAATTCTGCAGAACACACACGTACACATATCCAAATACACACGTTTCTTGCAACAAGAAATTCCCTAAGAGTCAACAATAACAGAGTAAACCCACCACTTGCTATCCTGGAAAGAAACAAACCAAAACAAAACAAATTCTTGGAGCATTTCTCTTCAGTGCAGGACAGCCTCTCTTCAGTAAAAGTCCAAGGGGAAAAGGAAATTGCACCAAAGGGGGGAAAATGGGGGTTGGGATTGTCACATATGATTAAAAATGTAAGCGTCTTTCAATAGTATCAGCATTGAAATAATACATCTTCTTTAAAATGCTTGAGCGATTAGATAGGGAGAGAAAGAACGCACACAAAACAAGAATCAACCGATGACGGATCCTAAGCTTTACGTAACACCACAAACTTGCAAAAGGCAAAAATCAGAGGCAAAAATCCGAAAATCTTCAAAATACAACAACCAGAAATCCCAAGCCATCACATCAAAAAGAAAAAGCTCAAAAACACCCTCCACCCCAGTCCCAAATAAAAAAATAAAGCAAATGAACCCACCGAACACTGCTTGGCAAATATTTTTCTCGTGGTGCCTAATATATTAGCTGGAGAGAGCTGTAGTGTTTATTGTTTTTTTCCTCTTACTCGTCTCTCTAAACCTACTATATATAATATACTTGTTCTAGTGGTTCAAATCTCTCGCTCCCTTTTATGCATTTAGCTCGAGGAGCTGAGTTTATGGTAAGAGAGGAAGAATTAGCCCCAGACCCCGGGAAAGCAAAGCGCACTCCCCCTCTTATGTCACCGAATAGCAAATTAGTTCTCAGAATTCCAGAGGCCGAGCTTTGCTACAGCGAAGACGCCGACGTCACACAGGAGGCGCCCACGTGACAGCGGCGGAGCAGGCCATACCATCATGCAGAGGCCCTGGAGGGAGGGCTGCCTTCTGTCCACTCGAGCCTCGAAGCGGAACATTCATAACCAAGACGATTATCCTGTAAGAACTTAAAAAAAATGCCGGAAAGTGGGAAAATATTGTGACTTTGAGGGAATTTTATGGGGCAGAGGAGGTAAAAAACCCAGAGAACTGACACCGAGACCTCCCCTGCCACGTAGCAGTGGTAAAGTCCGCAGCTCAAATTCCGAGAATTGAGCTCTGTTGATTCTTAGAACTGGGGTTCTTAGAAGTGGTGATGCAAGAAGTTTCTAGGAAAGGCCGGACACCAGGTGATTATTGCTGTTGCTGCCGCCGCTGCTGCTGCTGCCGCCGCCGCCGCCGTTGCCGCTGGTGCCGCTGCCGCCGCCGCTGCTCATGATCATTATTTTACCTTTTAATTCTTTTTTTTTTCCGCTTTTGCCAAATGCTTTGGCTCCAAGTTTCCTATGTGTATCTATTGATGTAAATGTATATATTTATTTATTCTAGCTGTCAGGTGTTAAAATAAATGCCGAATATTAGTCCCACGTCTCTCCCACTCTAGGATATAGATTTATATATAATTATTATTATTTTGTTGTCTTTGAGGGAATCGGCCGGTTTGGGGAGGCTTTTGCCACCCTCCCTGATGTTGTTTTGGTTTTTGAAAAGGAGGTTGGAGGAGAGAAGGAGGGGAATTAGGGGGCGGCCGGAGCAGAGAGGAAGAGACAGTGTTTAGGGGGTGATTCGGGCAAGTCTGGGGGCTGTCTGGCCTCAGACGGCGGAAAGGACGCGCGCTCGCGCTCTCGCTCTTTCTAAAGGCTGCTGCTTGCGTACGGCTTGTGATCTCGCTGGATTCGTGCGGCTGTGTTTTTTCCCTCTTTTCTGGCTTGCAAACTGCCTTCCTTGCTCCTTCGCTCCTGCCTCCCTTTCCCTCCCTCCCTCCTCCTTTCCCTCGCCTCTCCTCTCCTTCTGGGTAACTCCGGGAGGCGAGGAGGGAGGCTGCCCGCTTGCTCGCCCCGCTGGCTCCCTTCCACCGGCTTCAGTCCTTAAGATTCCCTGCCTTCCAACCGAGCCGAGATTTGGGAGGAAAAATACAAGCGAACTCCTCGGGTGTTTTTTTTTTTTTTTTCCCCACTCTTTTTTTTTTTTGGTCATAAACCCAGATGAAGTATCGTGTCTACTACTTCCTTTCAGAGCCGTGATCTTCCTAAGGAGAGACGAGTGTTTTGGTGTCCCCTTCCCCTGTGTTTTGGAAGGTTTAGCTTGGGGAGGGGGGCGGGGGGGTATTTAATACTTTGAAAATTAATCTTTCTTGGTTGTAGTCAAGGGAGTCGGGAACCCACTGCGCGCTTCCTTTGCCCATCCCGAGAAGAGAGGCTGACGGCCGGACAGGGATGTTGGGGGTGGGTAGGAAAGGGGTGCGTGTTTGCACCTGCGACGCCTTTCGGTGTGCGGGGACACAGGGAACCTTGACAGGACAGCCCAGGAGAGCGAGAAGGTGGCGGGATTTCTGGCGGCCGCGGTGTTTGTATTTTGGGCGCTGCGTGACTCTGTGTTGGCTCTCAATGGTTGTTCCCTCCCTTTCCTAAATTTTATATTCGTTTTCCCCATCTTGCACGTTCCGTAAAAAGGCAGTTGTGGGCCTGAGTAGAGCGGACGCCAGACTTCAGATTCCTAAGGTCCTTACACTGGGCGAGGGAAAGACAAACAGAGCCCCAGCCCGCGTTCCCTACGTGCAAGACCCGGGAGAAGAGAAGGGCACTTTGTGGCTATGGCTGGGGGACCCGGCGGGAGGAGCGGGCGCAAAAGGGAGACCTTTGTGAGTGATTTTGCAAAAATAGATTGCGAGGTTGGTTGGATCTGCAACCTGTGGCTCTTCTCGAGGGTGTAGGAGTGGGGGAAGCGGCGGCGACGGCGGCCTGGGGCGCGAGTGGGTAGGGAGTTGGAGCTTCGGAAACCGGCTGCGCTGGGGTGCAGCAGGAGCAAGGGGCCACCCCGCTGCCGGATGTAGTGACAGTGGTAAATGTCTTGAGAACTGTGGGTTGCGTTGCTTTTATGATACTGTGCTATTGGAACCCTGGAGGAAAATGGAACTAATGTTGCAAATGAGTTTTAAAACTCCCCCATGAAAAGCAAGAGCACAACCCAACAGATTTTCTAAAAGAATCGGGGCGGGGGGAGACCCTCTGTGTGGTGCCCACTTCTATCTGCGTGGTGGGGATGGTGGAGGTCCATACCTTAAACCGGTTGCTGAAAGTCCAGAGTTGTTACAGGGTCCCTGACTGCTTCAGACAGCCAATCATCCCCCTAGAAAAGTGATTTAATCTTTTATGAAGTTTTTTTTTCAATCACTTTTTAGTTTCCAGGAGGAAAAATTTAAACACTTTTTTTTAAGTAAAATGAGTGTCTGTAGATGCAATTTTTACTGTTCAGAAAAACAAAAAGAAAAAAGAAAAAGAAAGAAGAAAAAAAGTGGGGCAGGAGAGAGGGAACCAGGGAAAGGGTTGTTTAGAAATACAGTTTGTGGCTCTGAGCGATGCCACTGGCTTCCTTTACAGAGACTGCCAGTTTCCCTTTTTCTTTGCAAGGTGTGTGTGTGTGTGTGTGTGTGTGTGTGTGTTTAATAAATAACTTTAAAAAATAAAAGAAGGGCCGGCAAGATTCATCAGGAGACAGGTATCTATTTTGCTCAGTATTTACTACCAAGAGCCTTTGGCACTGGAACAGAACCTCGTAAATCTGCAGCCCAAGTTGAAGTTCATCTGGCCCTAGTCCACACACTATTCCTGGAGGTAGCAAACATGAGCTCAAAGGAGTGAGGTGAAATAACATTCTTGCTTGAAAATATATACTTTTTTTTAAGAAGAAGAAAAGATATTTGTGTCTGGGGTCAGAAATGAAATGAACAGAAAGCACCAGGAGATGGACATTATCTTGCTAAAATGACTGCAATTGAGTCTTCAGGCCAAAATAGAAACCTGTAGATAGGAAATACCCACCCCCCAAGTTTATAAATAGAAATTTCCAGTATCCTATTTGGAAGCATTTCCAATACTGCATGCTGGAACATTGGTTGATTTTAAGGGTCTGTTGATAGTAACACTAAGGCTATATGCTGTTCATAAAAACTAGGTGACTTGAAGGAGGAGACAAGCCAGAAAAGTGGGAATTCTCCATTTGTGCTTTTCCTGTCCTCAGTTTTGAGGGGTTTTACTCTGATGTTTTCTTTAAGAGACTGTTATTCTGTTTTTAGTGGACAGGAATGGAACTCAACTCTTGAGCTGTCATTTGCTGAGCTCTTGAAGAGTTCCAGTCATGGGTTGAGTAAATGGTAGCCATGACTAGATGTCAAAATCCTTCCTTCCCTCTATCCCCTGCCTGGTAGCCACTCTCAAAACCCACTTTGTTGTGAAAAACTTGAGTTTCAGAGGAGGTGGTGCAGCAGCGCCACCCCTCGGTGGGTAAAACTATGGCAAAAGTCAAATATTTTTAAAATATTGTGAAATGACAATGAGGCGTCCCCCTCCCCGAGAGATTAAAAAAATTAGCGGAGATAAAAACTAACTTTTAAAGGAAGCACTTTGCAGTTGACCTCGTCAATAGAGAAGAACGACGTTGCTTTCCAGCTAGGATGGTGGCATAAAAAGAGAAACGTAATTCAAATAATTCAGGGGAAGAATTCTGGTGGGGGGGAGTGGTGTAGGGAGTGGGGGGAGGCGCAGCATAGTTGTTTGTGTGCCTGGTTGGACTTAAGTAGGCTAGTTCCCCGGGTGGAGGTAGCTCCCTTTCGCCTTTGAACTTGACTTCTCAGGAGACCTGAATTTTGCTGCCTGTCTGACTTTGACATAAGGAGGGATGTTTTTGGTGTAAAATATCGAGGTGGCTGGAAGAGCTATAGTTTGACCGGTGGTATATGGGTGTGTGGTGATGGTGGTGGGGAGAGGTTTGTGGATTCTATGCAGCAAAGTTAGGCTGGTTAGCAGCCTCCTGCGAGTCAGAGTAGTGTGGCGCGTGCCGGTTTCCTGCACTGCGCAACAAGTGGGAACGCCGCCGCAGCGGTCTGAGCGTAGTGGCGGTGGTGACTGGTTTCTCTTCGCCCCAGTGGAAGCCAAGAACCGCTCCTTCCAACCCTCCCCGCCTCCCACTCCGAGATCACAGCCCTTCCAAAAGTCCATATTCGGGCCCCCCACTCCTGTTTAGCCAGGAGCAGTAAGTCTGGTTGACCCTGGATATTGGTCCCCAAGAGCCCCTTTCCTCCGTGACGATCATGAATGAGTTTATTCTCGACTCTCTTTGCTGGCCGACCGTGTGTGGCAAGAGCCGTTCTGCTTTTTGAAGATGAGAGCACCCTTTCTTTCCCTTCTTAGTAATTCAGCTGTTTTTTTTTGGGGGGGGGGAGGGGGGGAAATCAACGTATAGTACACGAAAGCCGATCCAGATAACTCATTGTGATTGCTAGAGGCGTGAGCATCGAGAAGAATGGAATTACACCAGTAAATTAAATGTTTTCCAGTTTTGTTTTTGGAAATAACCACACCCCCAGCCCTAACAGGGATAAAAGGGAGTCGGAGTTTCGGGCGTGGAAGGCTGTACAGCACGGAGATTCTCGGATGGACTGAGTCTGCCACCTAGTGGTAGATGGTGGTCAAGGTCCCCTGCCTTGGGCTGGGGGCTGACCGGTTTATCCTGACTAGATACTAGGAACGACAGGGAGGGCAGTCTCCAATGAGGATAGCATCCAACCTCCTGACTTTTGAGAAGACAAAACATTGGAAATGCCCCGGCTGCTCTTTCTGTCCATAGTTGCTCAGCAATCAGCATCTATCTCAACTAAGAGAAACAATAACGCTTTGAGGACATCATCTACCTGTGGCTATGGCCCCTTCCCTGGGGAAAAAGTCGGTA